GTGCGACCTCTGACATACAGTATATAGCAATTGTAAGTCGCTTTGGATAAAAGCGTCAGCTAAATAAATGTAAAACTGAGGAGAATATTAGAATTGCTCAAAGAGCTAAATGAATCCTGTCCCTATCATAATTGCAACTTGAATTGAATTTGAATCAAATATTGTTACCATTTCAAAAATGTGTGGTAAAACGTGTAGAAATGTACTCAAATCTTTTGAATCGGTTCATTGATGAGACCAATTCAACTTCCTTCACTGATTTAACCCTTTGAGGAGGATCCCGTTAAATAAATACCTGGCTGGCAACAAATGATTATTGTGCGTTAAGAACTAGTTCACCCAAAAATGAAAATTATCCCATAATTTACTCACCCTCAAGCCATAGGTGTATGAAACCCCCCGAAAACCCCCCCGAACCGCAAACTTAAACTAGCAGGTAGGCAGCAGCTGCCGGTTAAACAAAAAAAGTAATTTTTTTTTTTAAGAACCGATTAGGCTATAACATCTGATGTACATTCGCGGTATATTTGTTACAGTATCAAATAAATTATCATATTTCTGCATTTCAGTTGCATGTTTCATTGTGTTTGCCTTGAGCATCCAGACTCCAGAGTGAACAGACAGACATTGAGAATATCGACCACATGTGGATCGCATACAAAGAACAACACTTTCTTTCAACAGAAGACAAAACCGCCGTTGAGTTAAAATTAACTTACCTTTTGTCCCTTGCTCGCGCTGTTAGTAGTAGTTAGAGCAGTCGTCTCATCGTATGGTGGTGATGATGATTAGAGAGCGCGTGAGAGATATGAATCTGAATGATGTTTAAGTTGGACGGGCTGATGTTAGTTTTCAAGGTTGGTATATTGAGTTGAATATGAGAAAAACCACACCCAGGCACCAAGACGAGGAGACGCTGCCTGCGTGTGCGAAGACTGACTCAAACGCTGGAACGTGGCCAGTGACTTCAGAAGGTCATTATGTCATTTCCTCTGCTCTGTCCAAGGCCAACTCTTGCACACTTCTATCTTTACACTGTTCACTTTGACCAGCAGATGAACATAATTGGCAACAAAAGGGCATCACCTTAAACGTGGGGTGTGCTAGTTATTCTTATATTTATTTAACGCACCATATAGGCAAGGCAACTATTTACATTCCCTTATTTGTATCATATCTGTAGATGGGTCAATGGCATGACATGCATATTTTTTGTGTCCAAGTGCATTATTTATTTTAAAAATACTTTGATAAATTCGTGACATATATCACTTTATTGCTACAACCTATTTAGTTTTAACTCAAAAATATCAGGTGGTGCAACTGTCTGAACAAATAAACAAACTATTGGGAAACTTTTTAAAATGGTGTCTTATTAAATAAAAAATAAAACAGTAAATACGATGGCATAATTTTAGGCTTGAAACCTTTCATATAAAAAATTTTTCATATAAATCTAAAAGTTTTAAAGCAGTTGAGATAATTGAAAAACTTAAGTCATCTGTACTCTCAAGTGTCAGGGTGGCACAACTGCAAACATGGCTCATTTTTTATGAATTGACAAGGTAATAATAGAAAACATGGTAATGTATCATCCAGATGACCTTGTGGATTGAAAAGGTTTGTAGATCTCTCTCAAATACTGGTAAAAACGGCTAATTTCAAGTTGGTGCACTCTCCACGTCAGGTGGTACAACTACAGTAAATTTACAAACATTTATTTGGCTGTACCCCCTGACATAAAATGTCACAAAATGAATTTAAACTCTTTCAATTTTATTTAACAATTGCAATTCAAACACATTGTTCATGGCTGTTCATGACAGTTTTGATTTTGTTTTTAAAAACATCTTTTATGAAGCTTTATTTGTCAATAAACCATACACGTATATTTTCTATTTTCTATATTATTTATTTTTTAAATATTTTTATATATTATAATTTTGTGTTCACTTAATTATATCTTTTATTATCTCTCTTGTCGTTGTCATTCTGTGTGAAAGTTCCTTTTCTTTGTAATTAGTAAAAGGCTCTTTCTGTACAATCCCAATGCTCAGAACAATTGCGCCCTCTACTGAATTTGAAGGGCTAAACTGGGCTTTATTTCAGAGACAGAAGAAAACACTGTTGAAAAGAAACTTTTTTTTTAATGAGAGAAACAAAAAGGAATGTTTTCTGTGGAGAGAAATACTTGATAGAATATTAGCAGATATACATTTTGCAATGGAGTAAGCATTAACATACTTTTTGTGTGTGTGTGTGTGTGTCCCAAACAAAAAGCCTTGTAACAAAGCTTTAAAAATTTGTATTCAGGCACAATGATAGCCTAAATATTAGTACAGAGATGAAACCTCAAGAAATACTTCCTGTTTGTCACTCACATTCTACAAAATTATGAACCGTCAGCAAACACCCCCAATCTGGACATTTACTTACGAGACAGTGAATCTGCACGAAAAAAGCTTCTGAAACAAAGATTGAACCATCAAGATGTACCATGATTGCTCTATGATTGAAAGCTCTATAGCCTATTGAAGTCCACTTTCCACTCAAAGCTCTTGGAGCTCAAAAGACCTGCTATCACAAGAAAATACATGTTAGAATTTATTCATTAATCCAAAAACCATGTGGAAAGGCTATTTAAGCAAGACAGGCGACAGAAATAGCAACCTCTAAGGGAAATTAAACCAATCTTTGCCTGCCATTATTTTGGATAATAGACTATTTCAGATTAAATTGGCTGCTTATGGAAATAGTAAATTCACAATATGTGTTGCAACCAAATTAAAAATGTATTATGGACCCGAGAAGCGTAAGGGCTGCAAGCACTGAAATCGCAGTGGGTGAAGAAAGGGCCTAGATGGTGCAGATGTGAAAATGACATGCCCATTTATGCCAGCTTTGAGAGCAATTTGTGGTTGATGGTTTTGAATGAAGACCCAAAAGAAATATGATGGAAGTTACCAAGGATGCCCAATCTGATGTAAGCAATTATTGAGGTTATCTGAAGCCTGTTGGGACAGATGCATGGTGGGATTGAAATGCATGGTGCTAAAAAGCTCAAAACGATGAGTCTACACTTAGGCAATGTTTATCATGTTGCATAATAATATAGCCTAGCTAGTTAAAATATTTTTAGAGCAAACAAATACAGACAGAGAGGGAGCCTGAAAATATTTGGGTCGAAGTTAATCTAAAAGTGACATGCAGCATCCAAATTATTATGTTGTCACAAGATACAAACTAATTAAAATTTGGAACTTTGTATAGAGTAGTCCTAATTTGTTGTAAAACAGCAATACATAAGGTTTCTGAGATATTTTGTAAAGAAGTAGGCCATGTGATGACTTTGCTTTTTTAATAATAATGACTTTTCTTATTCTGCCACTCAGTTATTTGGAGAAAAATAATTGAAAAAAATATTTAATGAATTATGCCTGCTATATTTATAAACGTATGTAAAACAAAATGTAAATCAAAAAAGACAAGGAATTACGAGATTATTAGATTTACGTAGGCTAACAGTTGAAGGAATTTCTTTAAAATATTATTGAGTAATGTTAGCACAAATGGACTCTCTTACTGCCTTTTTTAACTTTAAACGTTTTCTTAATCACCAAAAATACAAGTAGAGTTGTTATCTCAGCGTAAACAGCGGCTCACGCGCTGCCGCCTTCCTCGCGCTATTGGTTGAGCGGAACTTCCGTCTGATACCGGAAATGGACGTGGCATGTCAAACTATCAGCAGTCAGTCATCTGTTAGATCTCAGTGATTACCTGTAGTAGTTGCTTTTCTGACTCTCACTCCCATCTGTCTCGTTCTAATGTCCGGATAGCGCTCTCGGAGGCTCAGCGGGGGTGATGGGGGTGTTTTGGCGCTGGTTTTGGGGCTTGATTTGGTTCGGAGTGTCTGCAAATCGTGCAGGATCTCCTGTGTTTTCTGATGAGATCCCCTTCAAAATCAAATGGCCCGGATCAGACTTCACCCTGGTGAGTACAAACATCTAATAAACTCAGATATTTCGCATGACAGCTGTAAATACAGCCTAGCATATGCTGTTTGTTTAATTGTCAGCTTGTTGGCTAAGGTCGCTTCATAACAACTGGACGTGTCCTTGTTTGTTTTGAAATGTCTTGTAGTGTGTTAAAGGGATAGTATCATAGTTCACCCCAACATTAACGTTTTGTCATTATTTACTCACTTTCATGTTATTCCAAAGCTGTTTGAGTTTATCTCTTCTGCTGAACACAAAAGAAGGTATTTTTTAAAGAATGTTGGTAACCAGACAGCTGACGGCACCCATTTAGTTCTATTGTATTTTTGTCTACTATGGAAGTCAATGGGTGCCATCAACTGTCTGACTGAATTATGTTGGTTTATTTCTCTGGTACTGTGGACATGGATTTTGTTATTGATTTTTGCAGAAGTTAAATATGTTATAATGTTCCTTTTCATTGCACAGTCAACATCTGGGGGCCTGTACAGAAAAGATAACTATGTTATTATGACAACTGCGGAAAAAGAAAAGTACAAGTGTTTATTGCCATCTTTGTCCAGCAATCAGGAGGTATGGTTATGCATGGCAGATTTTAAATTACTATTATCTTGAGCTATTCTATGTATTCATTTAGTTAAGTTTTATTTTACTTAATTCTCGTTTGAAGGATGATGTGAAGGAGTATAGCGGACCGAGTCCAGCCATGCTACTGGAGCCGTTATTCAAACAGAGCAGCTGCTCCTACAGAGTGAGTTTCATGTCTCACTTTCTGTATATCTGAGTGACTGACTTTATAAATATGCTTGACTAGTTTCACATAATATGTCTAGGTCACATTTCCCCCCAAAAAACAAAATAAGATATTATGTGTCTTTGCTTTTGTTGATCTTTTCCTAGTCATATGAGGTACTTTTATTGTGGCCACAATTCGGCCTTCTGACTGGCTTATCAACATATGTGTCTTGCAGATCGAGTCATACTGGACATATGAAGTGTGCCATGGGAAGCATATACGGCAGTACCATGAGGAGAAGGAGACGGGGCAGGTAAAACCACTGTTTTTAATGCGATCTGTTTAAGAACATGGCAGGTCCTTATTGCGTTCCTTGTATTGTGTTAGGAATGCATATGTTACCACTCAAAAGTTTGTGAAAGATGTCTAATACTCACTAAGGCTGCATTCATTTGATAGTAAATACAGTAAAAACATTGTGAAATATTAATTCAATTTAAAATAACTGTTTTCTATTTTAATAAATCTGAAAATGTAAATTTAGATCCTTCAGAGATCATTCTAAATATGCTGATTGTGTGATTAATAAACATTACTTATTAGTATCAATCATATTATCTTAAAATGTCGTTTTTTTTAATAACAATGTGAAATTACCTATTTTGATCAATGTAATGCATCCTTGCTGAATAAAAGCATTTTTTTTTTAAATCTTACTGACCCCAATCTTTTGTTTGTAGTATTAAGATATTTCTAAGTAATATAAACATTTCAGTGGTCTTATTAGTCTCTGTTCCCTCAGAAGATCAACGTTCAGGAATACTATCTGGGGACCATGAATAAAAAAGAGAGTGCAGGTTGGGCAATTTTTAAGCTTAAGATGGTATTTTTTTGCTTTACATGTTCTGTCAATTGTTTCATGTATTTTATCTGCTCCTTAGAGTCAGAAACTGATCAATCTGGAGACCCTGAAAAAGAAGCATCAGACACAGAGGTTTGTCACTGTTTGACATGCAGATAGTAAATGTGTGTGACATGAGTTTTTTTTTAAACTCTCTGTGGGTTCCCAGGTGCCAACGAAGAATATAGAAGGTCAGCTCACGCCATACTTTCCGGTTGAGATGGGACATGGGACCGAATGCTCTGTGAGACAGAATGAACCTCGCACTACCACAGTGCTGTACGTCTGCCACCCGGAGGCGAAGCACGAGATCCTCACAATCGCTGAGGTCGTCAGCTGTCAGTATGAAGTGGTGGTGCTCACACCTCTCCTCTGTCCTCACCCCAATTACAGGTACACACACAAAAACATTCAGCTCAATCAAGATTTCACTTTTAAAATCAGTTTTTCGGAGATTATCCTACTAAATAAGTGCATAAATAAATAATTATTGGTTTCTGTTGTCTAGTATATACTTGTGAATAGTTTATCCTTGTGACGATGACATACATATCACATAAATATGATAACGTCACAAGGCCCATTCTCACAAAGAATGAAATTAAAAAGTCATACTTATCATTTGAAAGATGATTGAACACAGAAAGTAAAGTATGATTATATTTCCCTCTTACAGGGCATTTTAAATAGCAAAATAATAATAGTAAATAAAAAATATATACATACACACAAAGTTCACATAGTTTTTTTTTCCAACAAAATAAGTGCATAAATATTAGTTCTTGATTTCTATCTATGTGTTTCTATCATATATAATACCATACGATAATGTCATAAAGCCTGTTCTCACCAAGAAACAAAGGAACAAACAAGTGAAGCTAATCACAGACATGAAGTCTTTTCATACAGCAAGTGAAATGATAAATGCTCTTTCACATGCTTTAATGCCATTTAACACAGTTTTTAATCACTTTAATTCAAAATTTAACCTATATGATGATATAGGTTTCACTCATTGTAGTGTGTTCTAGCTTTTAGAGTCCCAAGTGTTCATGTTAATACATTTTAAGTCCTTTGTGACGCATTTCTCCTCAGGTTCAAGTCCTCCCCAGTGAACGACATCTTTTGTCAGGCTCTGGGTGGTTCCCCTCTCAGACCTCAGAGTCTGTCCCAGCTGGATCGTGAACAGGAAGAGCTGCTCAAACCACCGTTCAGCTCAAGCATCGAACGGGACTTGAGGGGATCCAGGGTGAGTCTGGACCTGCCCTTTATCTTCTGCATTTACATGTAAAAATGGTAATGATTCATTGCTACTATAAGTAGTTTCGAAAAGACTCAAGTTGGTGGTCAAATTAAAGAACATTAACAATTATATGAAAAATGTTGTATGAACAAAAATCATTATATTAATGTACAAATGTTTTAAAATATAATAATTTCTCTTTGCTAAGGAGGACAAACTTCCTGTGAAGGAAGAGGCATATACCTCTACCCATAAGCCCCTGACAGTGGGCGGTCAAGCCCAGGTCACCGTTGGCACAACTCACATCTCTCGTCTAACTGATGAACAGCTGATCAAGGAGTTTCTGAGCGGCTCGTACTGTCTGCATGGGGTGAGGGTGGATAGATTTCTCTTCTGTTTCTGTTTATCTTTTAGTTGGGTTCCCAGCTCAACATATTTTTCTTTTTTTGTCCTAGGGGGTTGGATGGTGGAAGTATGAGTTTTGTTATGGAAAACATGTACACCAGTATCATGATGTAAGAGTTTTGAAATCATTGAATTATTTATAAATTATAACAGTTTCCAGTATTGTGTAATTGTTTGGATTATGAGAGATGGTAAATTGCAGGTTGTGCTTTTGGTTGAAGGATAAAGAGCAAGGGAAGAACATTGTGGTGGTGGGAAGCTGGAACACTGAGGATCATATAAACTGGGCCAAGAAAAATGTGGCACGATCTTATCATTTAAAAGACGATGGAGTGCAAAAAGTCAAGTATGATTATATTTACCTCACATACACACACATTTATGTACATTTATCTATCTATCTATCTATCTATCTATCTATCTATCTATCTATCTATCTATCTATCTATCTATCTATCTATCTATCTATCTATCTATCTATCTATCTATCTCTCTACCTATCTCTCTATCTATATATATACACCTAAATATACACACTCTGTATAATATGTATATATATATATAGACCATTTCACAAGATGTAAACAACACTGGCCCAGAAGCACTTCCTGTTTCAGTTTTTTAACACTACATAAAAGCTGGGATAAAATACAACCAACAGAACATTTAAAACTGAATCAAAAAGTTAAACAAACATCTTTAAGATGTTTTCTTTACATGTGAAATAAAGAAAACAGTTACAAACTGAAACACGAAGTGCTTCTGGACCAGTGTTGTTTACATCTTGTGGTCTATATGTATACATATGTATATTAATACAAATGTGTGTCTCATGCTCACTAAAGCTGTATTTCATTAAGTATATTGCAAAAGCAGTAATATTGTGAAATATTATTACAATTCAAAATAACTAAAACATTTCAACATACTTAATTCTTCATTTCAGTCTTCAGTGTCACATGATCCTTCAGAAATTGTTATAATATGCTGATTTGCTGCTTAAGAAAAATTTCTTGTTAAAATGTTGAAAATGGTTGTGCTGCTTGATATAAATTCCTATACTGTATGTGTATATATATCATCATCAGGATCGTTTCTCACTTCTATGGCCATGGAGATGTTTGCGACCTAACAGGGAAACCGAGACAGGTTGTAGTCAAGCTTAAGTGAGTTACCCACACTTCATGATGCCATGTGAATTTCCGGTTTTGTGAATGCCGCCACTAACGCCTACCCGTTCTGTCTCAGGTGTAAGGAGTCAGACTCTCCTCATGCTGTTACAGTTTACATGCTGGAACCTCAGACCTGTCAGTATATTCTTGGGGTGAGTGGCAAACAGAATGACAATGAGATTTGACCCGCAATTTTGATTTTAATAATTATGCAGCCCTAGATGTTTCCAGTGAATGCGAATGTTACAGAAAGAGATGGTTTCATTTGAATAACCCATGTCCTGCTTATCATTCTGCCACAGGTTGAGTCTCCTGTAATATGCAAGATCTTGGACACTGCAGATGAAAATGGATTTCTTTCAATCCCTAGCTAGCCTGCATGATTGGTACCGAGATGGAGGAACAATTGCTTGAAGAAGAGGGAGAGATAAACGTCTGAAAGTCTGGTTCAATAGATCATGAAAATAACATGGACATCCTGAACCTCAGACCTCAACCTTTTGAGAAAGTCCCACACTGACTGCACTTTCTCTTGTGAAAAAGACTGAAGGAGATTTGGTGAAACTTTTAAACCTGGAGATGCAGCTAGGACTGAATTCTCGATATTTTATTGACAAATCTCGAACCTGTTGTTGAATATTTTTGTTGGGCCTTTTTTTCATGCTTTGTAACATTTAGATGGCTGGCAGTTCTTTAAAATCTAATCTAATGATTCATTTGTTCTGGTAATCAATTAATATACAAGATGGTCAACTGTTTTAAGTATACATTATTTATTTTGTCCAACTTCCCATTAACAATGTGCAGCTGGAGATGGTTATTATTAAGTTTTTAAAAGAGACTCAAGTCATTGGTGGCAAGGGAAATACACTGTCTTATATGCAAAGGAAATTGAATGTAATTAAAAATTTTTTGGAAATCAAATCGAGTTATGTACAGTAATTTTGATTATCCTCACTTAAATGTAATCACTCATGTTTTTCTCAAATGTACTCTTTCACCTAGTGTACATAGTATTTATTCAATATAACAGAAAAAAAAAACTATTTCTTAAGGAGAAATAAACATTCCTTTGCTAAATATTAGGAAATGGCCAGAAGGTCCATTTACTTACACTAGGTGGTGCTAGTGTCTCTTTCTGTGGATAGGCTTTGTTCACAGAGAACTAAAGTTCTTACATAACATTCATCATTTGCTTAGACGTGAATACCTAAAAAAAAAAAACAAAAACAAAAAAAACTGACTGACAAAGCAAACTACAGTGCACAATAAATATCTGCTTTCAAAGGATAATGAAGGTGTCAAGATACACTTGCAAAACATTTAATAAGTTCATATATAAAATGTAGGATGTTTCACAAATACATAATCTGAGCGAAGACTATTACATGAAAATGCCATGTCAATGTAAAAATAGAACATCCTTTAGTCCAGAAAACAACATTAATAACAAATTTGGGGAAAGCGACAACTAGTTGTAAAAGTCCCGTTTTCTTTTAATTGGATACTCGATGCACATTGTCTCTTGAGCAAAACACCACAAGCAAACAATATAAATGCTCCCCAAGCAGTATGACGTTCCACAGCTCAGACTGACGGGATGGGAATCTGATTAGCCGACGTGCTGTCAAAGTCCTGCAGCGCCTCCTGGTGGGTGTGGTAGTGCATAGCCACGTAGCTTTTGGCAAAGGCTGTGGTTTGAGAGTTGACCGGCTGTAGGCTGTTGGGGGAACTCGGTGCTGCGGACGGACTGCTGTTATAGATACTGTAATAGGGCTCTATGCGAGTGTTGATGGGCGTAGATGTGCTCGGGGGTCGGGGCTTGCGTCCAGCGGTGGCACAGGGACTAGGCATGCTGTCCCGGGAGTGACTGGGTCCGCAAGCCTGGTCAACCAGTTTCCTCTGGGGCTTGGGTGAGAGCATGTACGCCGAGTTGGTCTCGTGGTGCGAGGACTTGTTGCGGTTGACTTCCAGACTTCCCTTGCCCATAGCGTGCAGGCGTGTCTTGTGCTTGCAGCACAGGAAGCCCAGGGTGACCCACTGAAGGCAGCAGAGCACACGGCGACGCAGACCAGCACTGTTGCGCGAGTACACGAAGGGGTTGATCCCAGACTTCAGGAAAATGAGGGCGAATCCGCAGAGCTCGAACTGGTAGTGGACGAAGCTGCTCTCCTGTGACACCATGTCTTGCGCCAAGGAGATACCTAGTGGTAGACAGCACAACAGCACGGAGATGATGATCACCACGCACGTCACCACAGCCTTTGAATCCTTGGCCGTAGCCAAGTTGACGGTGGAGACCAGCTGGCAGCAGGTTGCTCCAGTGGCGGCCCCGGGCACGAGGGGCTGGTTGGCCCTCCTGGTGAAGGGGTGCGTCTGGACATGCTGGAGCTTGTTGTACGTCTGGTTGCGGTACAGAGAGGGCACCTGCACTGTGCACTGCATATCCTCAAAACCGGCTGTGATGAGCGGCGGATGAGAAGCAGGCGGACGCGTCGCGTCCACCGTGATGATGGGACACTTCCGTACCTGTGCATTCTTCCTCAAAGCCTGAGCGATCATAAGGTAGGAAATCGAAACCACACCAACACAGAAAGCAAAGTCTGCAATGTATACATACAATACTAACTTGGCCTTGTTGCCAGTAAGACCGAAGTGAGGCAGGCAAGGCCCGGAGCTCCTGGGATACGCTCGCAAGGTGACCAATGCCGCCAGTGTGAAACTGGTGGTCCATAGGAGGGCTGTGAGGGCCAGAGTACAGGGGAACGAGGCCGTACGGTTGGGCTGCTGACCCAGGACCATGCGGAGCCGATGCAGGGCGATCACAGCCACCGTTTCGAGGGACATAATGATGAAGCCTGAGCTGGTGAGGTGAAAGGCAAAGCAGAAGCCCTTGGACACTCCGCCGCTGGCATCTCCAGCATCCAGAAAGAGCACCAGTGCAAACATGGGCGCAGTGACGCAGCAAATGAACAGGTCACAGAAGGACAGGTTGAGGATCATGAAGTCAAAGTTGGTGCGGAACTTGCGGAACGCCGGGTCGAAGAAGGACAAGAAGACCACCAAGTTGCCATAAGAACCGAGACAAAATATGAGGACCAACAGGAAGGAGCAGGAGGCGAGGGTAGCTGTGTGGATTAAGGCCCAGCCGCTCGAAGAAGCAGACTGGCTCTGGGAGCTGTTGAAGCCCCGAGGTTTCACAAACTCAGCCAGGTCCAAAGGCCAGGCTGTGCTGTTCATGGTACACATGGGGATGCAAAGTGGTCACAGCATCAGAGTGTTGCCCATGTTGCCTTTAGGTCACACAAGAGCGAGCTAATACTCCCATTGTGCAGTTAGTTCATGACAGACCCTTTGGATTGCTGCAAGGACACAAAGAATGAGGAAATATTGATTAGTAATAAACAATACGAAGCATTAAGTAAGGCCTAATTGTAACTCAATAAATTAACATAAAAATGACCACATGTCAATGGCCAAGTGGCTTTTGATCCATTCAATGGATTCGTTTTAATCTATATGATATCTTTATCATAACATGATGCACACATTATTAGGATTTTCTATAAAAACAGAATCACGTTGGCAAGGAGGCGGCCCGTGATTGGCTGTGGAGCAGATACTGCAAGCCATGGCTCTGCTGCAAGCCATCTGATTACCAAAGCCTTACCACGCAACGTCCAAATTACAAATTACACAAATTAGCCCTGTTATTTAGTGGCACTTTCCCTTGTTATATTCCATGCATTATCATGGAATCATTATCATTAATAGAGACGTTCGCAAAGACCCGCCTTTTTTAGTATGTGACGAGTCACGAGCCAGGCGGGTCTCACGAGTCACGCATATCATGTTCACTCACGCAGTGAAAAATACATCGCGGGGCAAAGACTAACGTTACACCGAGTGATTACGAGAGAGAGTTCAAAGCAGCTTACTGATGATATGAAACAAAGTCTCAACTTTCAAATATTGTAATTTAAGTAATTTAAACAATACCGTTTCAAGTTTATATCCACGGCCCTCTATCAGAATCCAGAGTTTTGGGAAGATTGGAGAAACTTAATTTTTCGCCCAAAAAAAAAAAACGTAAGGGGTACCACTGTCGTTTTTTTTTTCGGGCCGAATTTTTGAGTTTCGATATCTCAGCTCTGGAAGGGGCTAGAGCCTCCATTTTTGCACTCAGGTCTAAGTCTCATGGCCCTCTATCAGAATCCAGAGTTTTGGGAAGATTGGAGAAACTTAATTTTTCGCCCAAAAAAAAAAAAACGTAAGGGGTACCACTGTCGTTTTTTTTTCGGGCCGAATTTTTGAGTTTCGATATCTCAGCTCTGGAAGGGGCTAGAGCCTCCATTTTTGCACTCAGGTCTAAGTCTCATGGCCCTCTATCAGAATCCAGAGTTTTGGGAAGATTGGAGAAACTTAATTTTTCGCCCCAAAAAAAAAAACGTAAGGGGTACCACTGTCGTTTTTTTTTCGGGCCGAATTTTTGAGTTTCGATATCTCAGCTCTGGAAGGGGCTAGAGCCTCCATTTTTGCACTCAGGTCTAAGTCTCATGGCCCTCTATCAGAATCCAGAGTTTTGGGAAGATTGGAGAAACTTAATTTTTCGCCCAAAAAAAAAAAACGTAAGGGGTACCACTGTCGTTTTTTTTTTCGGGCCGAATTTTTGAGTTTCGATATCTCAGCTCTGGAAGGGGCTAGAGCCTCCATTTTTGCACTCAGGTCTAAGTCTCATGGCCCTCTATCAGAATCCAGAGTTTTGGGAAGATTGGAGAAACTTAATTTTTCGCCCCAAAAAAAAAAACGTAAGGGGTACCACTGTCGTTTTTTTTTCGGGCCGAATTTTTGAGTTTCGATATCTCAGCTCTGGAAGGGGCTAGAGCCTCCATTTTTGCACTCAGGTCTAAGTCTCATGGCCCTCTATCAGAATCCAGAGTTTTGGGAAGATTGGAGAAACTTAATTTTTCGCCCAAAAAAAAAAAACGTAAGGGGTACCACTGTCGTTTTTTTTTTCGGGCCGAATTTTTGAGTTTCGATATCTCAGCTCTGGAAGGGGCTAGAGCCTCCATTTTTGCACTCAGGTCTAAGTCTCATGGCCCTCTATCAGAATCCAGAGTTTTGGGAAGATTGGAGAAACTTAATTTTTCGCCCAAAAAAAAAAACGTAAGGGGTACCACTGTCGTTTTTTTTTCGGGCCGAATTTTTGAGTTTCGATATCTCAGCTCTGGAAGGGGCTAGAGCCTCCATTTTTGCACTCAGGTCTAAGTCTCATGGCCCTCTATCAGAATCCAGAGTTTTGGGAAGATTGGAGAAACTTAATTTTTCGCCCAAAAAAAAAAAACGTAAGGGGTACCACTGTCGTTTTTTTTTCGGGCCGAATTTTTGAGTTTCGATATCTCAGCTCTGGAAGGGGCTAGAGCCTCCATTTTTGCACTCAGGTCTAAGTCTCATGGCCCTCTATCAGAATCCAGAGTTTTGGGAAGATTGGAGAAACTTAATTTTTCGCCCCAAAAAAAAAAAACGTAAGGGGTACCACTGTCGTTTTTTTTTCGGGCCGAATTTTTGAGTTTCGATATCTCAGCTCTGGAAGGGGCTAGAGCCTCCATTTTTGCACTCAGGTCTAAGTCTCATGGCCCTCTATCAGAATCCAGAGTTTTGGAAGATTGGAGAAACTTAATTTTTCGCCCAAAAAAAAAAACGTAAGGGGTACCACTGTCGTTTTTTTTTCGGGCCGAATTTTTGAGTTTCGATATCTCAGCTCTGGAAGGGGCTAGAGCCTCCATTTTTGCACTCAGGTCTAAGTCTCATGGCCCTCTATCAGAATCCAGAGTTTTGGGAAGATTGGAGAAACTTAATTTTTCGCCCAAAAAAAAAAACGTAAGGGGTACCACTGTCGTTTTTTTTTCGGGCCGAATTTTTGAGTTTCGATATCTCAGCTCTGGAAGGGGCTAGAGCCTCCATTTTTGCACTCAGGTCTAAGTCTCATGGCCCTCTATCAGAATCCAGAGTTTGGGAAGATTGGAGAAACTTAATTTTTCGCCCAAAAAAAAAAAACGTAAGGGGTACCACTGTCGTTTTTTTTTCGGGCCGAATTTTTGAGTTTCGATATCTCAGCTCTGGAAGGGGCTAGAGCCTCCATTTTTGCACTCAGGTCTAAGTCTCATGGCCCTCTATCAGAATCCAGAGTTTTGGGAAGATTGGAGAAACTTAATTTTTCGCCCAAAAAAAAAAAACGTAAGGGGTACCACTGTCGTTTTTTTTTTCGGGCCGAATTTTTGAGTTTCGATATCTCAGCTCTGGAAGGGGCTAGAGCCTCCATTTTTGCACTCAGGTCTAAGTCTCATGGCCCTCTATCAGAATCCAGAGTTTTGGGAAGATTGGAGAAACTTAATTTTTCGCCCAAAAAAAAAAACGTAAGGGGTACCACTGTCGTTTTTTTTTTCGGGCCGAATTTTTGAGTTTCGATATCTCAGCTCTGGAAGGGGCTAGAGCCTCCATTTTTGCACTCAGGTCTAAGTCTCATGGCCCTCTATCAGAATCCAGAGTTTTGGGAAGATTGGAGAAACTTAATTTTTCGCCCAAAAAAAAAAAACGTAAGGGGTACCACTGTCGTTTTTTTTTTCGGGCCGAATTTTTGAGTTTCGATATCTCAGCTCTGGAAGGGGCTAGAGCCTCCATTTTTGCACTCAGGTCTAAGTCTCATGGCCCTCTATCAGAATCCAGAGTTTTGGGAAGATTGGAGAAACTTAATTTTTCGCCCAAAAAAAAAAACGTAAGGGGTACCACTGTCGTTTTTTTTTTCGGGCCGAATTTTTGAGTTTCGATATCTCAGCTCTGGAAGGGGCTAGAGCCTCCATTTTTGCACTCAGGTCTAAGTCTCATGGCCCTCTATCAGAATCCAGAGTTTTGGGAAGATTGGAGAAACTTAATTTTTCGCCCAAAAAAAAAAACGTAAGGGGTACCACTGTCGTTTTTTTTTTCGGGCCGAATTTTTGAGTTTCGATATCTCAGCTCTGGAAGGGGCTAGAGCCTCCATTTTTGCACTCAGGTCTAAGTCTCATGGCCCTCTATCAGAAGTTTGGGAAGATTGGAGAAACTTAATTTTTCGCCAAAAAAAAAAACGTAAGGGGTACCACTGTCGTTTTTTTTTCGGGCCGAATTTTTGAGTTTCGATATCTCAGCTCTGGAAGGGGCTAGAGCCTCCATTTTTGCACTCAGGTCTAAGTCTCATGGCCCTCTATCAGAATCCAGAGTTTTGGGAAGATTGGAGAAACTTAATTTTTCGCCCAAAAAAAAAAACGTAAGGGGTACCACTGTCGTTTTTTTTTCGGGCCGAATTTTTGAGTTTCGATATCTCAGCTCTGGAAGGGGCTAGAGCCTCCATTTTTGCACTCAGGTCTAAGTCTCATGGCCCTCTATCAGAGATTTGGGAAGATTGGAGAAACTTAATTTTTCGCCCAAAAAAAAAAAACGTAAGGGGTACCACTGTCTGTCGTTTTTTTTTCGGGCCGAATTTTTGAGTTTCGATATCTCAGCTCTGGAAGGGGCTAGAGCCTCCATTTTTGCACTCAGGTCTAAGTCTCATGGCCCTCTATCAGAATTTTGGGAAGATTGGAGAAACTTAATTTTTCGCCCAAAAAAAAAAACGTAAGGGGTACCACTGTCGTTTTTTTTTCGGGCCGAATTTTTGAGTTTCGATATCTCAGCTCTGGAAGGGGCTAGAGCCTCCATTTTTGCACTCAGGTCTAAGTCTCATGGCCCTCTATCAGAATTTGGGAAGATTGGAGAAACTTAATTTTTCGCCCCAAAAAAAAAACGTAAGGGGTACCACTGTCGTTTTTTTTTTCGGGCCGAATTTTTGAGTTTCGATATCTCAGCTCTGGAAGGGGCTAGAGCCTCCATTTTTGCACTCAGGTCTAAGTCTCATGGCCCTCTATCAGAATTTGGGAAGATTGGAGAAACTTAATTTTTCGCCCCAAAAAAAAAACGTAAGGGGTACCACTGTCGTTTTTTTTTTCGGGCCGAATTTTTGAGTTTCGATATCTCAGCTCTGGAAGGGGCTAGAGCCTCCATTTTTGCACTCAGGTCTAAGTCTCATGGCCCTCTATCAGAATTTGGGAAGATTGGAGAAACTTAATTTTTCGCCCAAAAAAAAAACGTAAGGGGTACCACTGTCGTTTTTTTTTTCGGGCCGAATTTTTGAGTTTCGATATCTCAGCTCTGGAAGGGGCTAGAGCCTCCATTTTTGCACTCAGGTCTAAGTCTCATGGCCCTCTATCAGAATCCAGAGTTTTGGGAAGATTGGAGAAACTTAATTTTTCGCCCAAAAAAAAAAAAACGTAAGGGGTACCACTGTCGTTTTTTTTTTCGGGCCGAATTTTTGAGTTTCGATATCTCAGCTCTGGAAGGGGCTAGAGCCTCCATTTTTGCACTCAGGTCTAAGTCTCATGGCCCTCTATCAGAATTTGGAAGATTGGAGAAACTTAATTTTTCGCCCAAAAAAAAAAACGTAAGGGGTACCACTGTCGTTTTTTTTCGGGCCGAATTTTTGAGTTTCGATATCTCAGCTCTGGAAGGGGCTAGAGCCTCCATTTTTGCACTCAGGTCTAAGTCTCATGGCCCTCTATCAGAATCCAGAGTTTTGGGAAGATTGGAGAAACTTAATTTTTCGCCCAAAAAAAAAAACGTAAGGGGTACCACTGTCGTTTTTTTTTTCGGGCCGAATTTTTGAGTTTCGATATCTCAGCTCTGGAAGGGGCTAGAGCCTCCATTTTTGCACTCAGGTCTAAGTCTCATGGCCCTCTATCAGAATCCAGAGTTTTGGGAAGATTGGAGAAACTTAATTTTTCGCCCAAAAAAAAAAAACGTAAGGGGTACCACTGTCGTTTTTTTTTCGGGCCGAATTTTTGAGTTTCGATATCTCAGCTCTGGAAGGGGCTAGAGCCTCCATTTTTGCACTCAGGTCTAAGTCTCATGGCCCTCTATCAGAATTTGGGAAGATTGGAGAAACTTAATTTTTCGCCCCAAAAAAAAAACGTAAGGGGT